AGAGAGAGAGAGAGAGAGAGAGAGAGAGAGAGAGAGAGAGAGAGAGAGAGAGAGAGAGAGAGAGAGAGAGATTCTGAACACATCGAAGTGAGATGAACAAGTACCGTAGTATCTGTTTTCGCTCTTATTCTTTTCTTTTTGTTTTTTCCCGAAAAAACACAACCTTATGGTTCTGGGCCTCTGGCTCCATATCCATTCTGGGGAGCATCAGTCCGGTTGTAAGGGGGAGTGGGAGATGGGTCATGGATCATCTGAATTGGCAGGGGGCGGTGGGAGATGGGTCATCTTTATTGGCGGGGGGGGGGGGGGGGGAGATGGGTCATCTCAACGGCAGTGCCCTCGCTCGCCCTGAGATGTAAGCTTGGATGCAGAAGAAGGGCCCCGGGATGATGTCAGAGGGAAATCTTCAACTCTCGAATCTGGATTAATAATTAATAGTAATCTCATACCCTTACTATGTCAGTGGCTGGAGTAACTTTTTTTCCTTTTTTTTTAAACCTACGTTCATAAATTTTTAGCCTATACCACCTGTGCACGGATCAGGCCATCAGATGATCGTCCCATATGAGCTGTGTCAGGACATCCCTTTTTTTTTTCCCTTTTTCTTTCTTTCTTTTTTTACCTCGTATTGCATTATCTCCACCAAGTCCCGGATGACGTGATAAACTGTTGGACGCACCTGTACAGAGCGCAACAACAAGAAGTGAGAAGATTGGCACCAGACTTAAGGACTAATTCAGTCTCTAGTATCTACTATCTAAAAATTATCAATAAGAAGGATTGGCACCTGTACAGTATCTCAATTTGAGAAGTTATTATTGTCACATTAAAACAGAAGAGTATACATACGAGTCATGATACGACACTTCCACCTGTTCTGGCGGGAGATCCTGAGTCAGTGGCATTGATTACTTTCCAAAACGGGAGGATTCCCCACTGCACCACCACTCTCTCTCTCTCTCTCTCTCTCTCTCTCTCTCTCTCTCTCTCTCTCTCTCTCTCTCTCTCTCTCTCTC